GGGTTCAGGGTTTAGGTTGAGGGTCCATTTCCCGGCAGTTAACCCTCATTCCTAGACGGCTACTCGGCTAACGAACAACGCAAGAAAGGCCGACGTGGTCATTATCGGGGGCGGGTCCATCGGAACGCCATGGCCCCAGTGGCCCCGGTGCGGCCAACTAAAACGTAGGCTCCCGAAACCCTAAACCCCCAAAAGCCGCCAAAACTGCCTCAAAGCTGTGGAGCTGATTGTGTGGGACTGTTCCACTCCCTAAGACCCCCAACCCTCAGCCCCTAAACCCTAAACCCTAAGCCCCCAACCCTAAACCCCTAAACCAAAAGCCCTAAACCAGAACTCCGAGATTGCGAGCCGCCCAGGTCGACGCTATACCACCTGCGCAAAGAGGCAGGGTTTAGGGTTTAGGGTTTAGGGTTAGGGTTTAGGGTTTAGGGTTTAGGGTTTAGGGTTTAGGGTTTAGGGTTCAGGGTTTAAGGGTCTAGGGTCTAGGGTCTAGGGTTTAGGGTTTAGGGTTTAGGGTTTAGGGTTTAGGGTTTAGGGTTTAGGGTTTAGGGCTAGGGTTTAGGGTTTAGGGTTTCGGGCTGCTGGGGGCAGACATGGTGGCGGGGTTGGCATTGGGCACGGTCATTCTGAGGCCGCGTAGCCCGAACTTTGGGCTCCGACGTTTGGAGGTTGAGGGGTCTTGTGTTGCTTGGGGTTCCTTGGTAGCCCCTAAACCCTAAACCCTAAACCCTAAACCCTAAACCCTTTTGCCCTTTTTGGGTTCTGGGTTCCCCTTATGAAAGTACCATAAAGTACTTAGCACTTAAAAAGGGTACCCTTATAATAGTATGGTTACTGGGCTACCCAGGTTCTGCAAAACCATGCAAAACCCCATATCTCTATCTTCCTGGACATGCAAAACATCCCGCTACGGAGACTACAGATTGCTTGAGAACCCCCGCTTTGCTTTTAAATAGTCCTCCTTATAGTAGCAATATGGGGGGTTTACATTTTTTGCTTTTTTTCTTATTTATTTATCATTTTGTTTTTTTGGGGGGGGATTCTTAAACAAATAGTAGGAGAGCCCCCACCCCCCCACCCCCCACCCCCACCCCCCCACCCACCCTCTGCAAAAACAGCAGCGCATGCAACGGACTTGAGCGAAACGAATGGCATGAAATGAACGCATGCATGAATGAAGCGGAATGAGCCCTGAATTTCACGAAGATGGTGTGAAAATGGTAGGCATGAATGAAGATTGTAGTAGCAATACTCGTAGTAATAGTAATGGTACTAAAATAGTGATCGTCACCAGTAAATAGTAATAACAACAGTAAATGAAACATGCTAATCACATGGTAGCCGTAGCAAAACACATGTATAGTAGCCATAGTAGTAATACGAATAACAAATAACGAATAACTGAACATAAATTTTCGTACATCAACATCTATAGGAATAGAAGCTAAGAATAGTATTAACCACAGCCAACATAGTTATAAACATACGCTGAAGCAGAAACACTCGTCGCTGTGAGACCCTGAGCCCTTCCCCCAGGCCCGTCAAGAACCCCTAAGCCCTAAACCCTAAACCCTAAACCCTAAACTCTAAACTCTAAACCCTAAACCCTAAACCCTAAACCCCCAACCCTAAGCCCTAAACCCCAAGCCCAAAAAGTCATCCCAAAAACCCAAACCTAGGATGGCCGGTAGTACCCTCATTCTTTTCCTTCAGGGCTAGGATCCCTTACAAACACCCAAGTTGTGCAAAAAACCTCCTTTGTTGTCCAATAGGGGCCCTAAACCCTAAACCCTAAACCCTAAACCCTAAACCCTAAATAAACCCTAAACCCTAAACCCTAAACCCTAAACCTATTTGTGGATTCGCGTGCAGGGGGTCAACGCCATCCTACTGGAGCGGCACCAGCTCACAGCGGGAACGACCTGCACTTAGCGATGCATTTTCTTGAACTTAGGGGGGAGTTTGGTTGGGATTTAGGGTTTAGGGTTTAGGGTTTAGGGTTTAGGGTTTAGGGTTGAGGGTTTAGGGTTTAGGGTTTAGGGTTGTGGTTTTCGGGCTTAGGGTTTAGTCATTCGGGATTCGGTTTTCGGGAGTTCGGGTCTGGAGCAGGTAGAAGGGCCACCGGAGAGCAACTGTTGGTTGCATCTTAGGGTTTAGGGTTTGGGGTTTAGGGTAGTTTGCTTGGAAGCTCTTTTGACTTAGTAAGTCTGCAGAGAATCCCTGGCCAATGACCCACCTTACTAACCCTACTTACTAAGTCTACTTACGAAGTCAAAAGAGCTTCCAAGTAGGGTGCGCAATATAGGGTTTAGTTGCTTTGTATTATTGTCTATAGTAGGGTCAAACGGCTTAGGGTTAAGGTTAAGGCCTTTAGGGTTCCCCCCCCCCCCCACCCCCTGCGAACACAACCATGGACAAGCCAAGGAGTTGCGACCCAGGCAATCCCAGACTACCGCAAGTCCCCAAAACCCCTAAACCTCAATGAAGCCCACTTCGTCCCAAAGCCTGAACCCCTTTTTACGTAAGCCTCAAACCCCTCAGACCCCTCAGACCCCTCAGACCCCTCAGACCCCTCAGACCCTAAACCCTAAACCCTACACCCCTAAACCCCTTAACCCCAAAACCCCAAAACCCTAAAGGCCTAAACCCCTAAACCCGAAAACAACCTAAACCCTAAAACCCCTAAACTCAACTGAGGACGTGGCACTCCGCAGGCATGCTCTGGAGGCTCCGCCCCACAGATGCCGACATCGAACTCAACGCCTACTCACGCCCGGGGCCCAAAGGGGGGGGGGGGGGGGGAGGGAGTGTTGTTAGGGTTTAGGGTTTGGGTTTTAGGGTTTAGGGTTTAGGGTTTAGGGTTTAGGGTTTAGGGTTTAGGGTTTAGGGTTTAGGGTTTAGGGTTTAGGGTTTAGCCCTCTTGACTTAGTAAGGTAGGGTTATTCGGGGTTTAGGGTTTAGGGTTTAGGGTTTAGGGTTTAGGGTTTAGGGTTTAGGGTTTAGGGTTTAGGGTTTCGGGTTCAGGTAGGACCTCCAAGAGTCCTCAAGGTGCCAACCGGGGCCAAGGGATGCCTGGGGGCGAGAGGAGGGTGCTTAGAAACCCTCTTGACTTAGTAAGGTAGGGTTATTCGGGGTTTCGGGTTTAGGGTTTAGGGTTTAGGGTTAGGGGCTTTAGGGTTTAGGGTTTAGGGTTTCGGGTTCAGGTAGGACCTCCAAGAGTCCTCAAGGTGCCCGAAGAACCGGGGCCAAGGGATGCCTGGGGGCGAGAGGAGGGTGCTTAGAAACCCTCTTGACTTAGTAAGGTAGGGTTATTCGGGGTTTCGGGTTTAGGGTTTAGGGTTTAGGGTTTAGGGTTAGGGGCTTTAGGGTTTAGGGTTTAGGGTTTCGGGTTCAGGTAGGACCTCCAAGAGTCCTCAAGGTGCCCGAAGAACCGGGGCCAAGGGATGCCTGGGGGCGAGAGGAGGGTGCTTAGAAACCCTCTTGACTTAGTAAGGTAGGGTTATTCGGGGTTTCGGGTTTAGGGTTTAGGGTTTAGGGTTTAGGGTTTAGGGTTTAGGGTTAGGGGCTTTAGGGTTTAGGGTTTAGGGTTTCGGGTTCAGGTAGGACCTCCAAGAGTCCTCAAGGTGCCCGAAGAACCGGGGCCAAGGGATGCCTGGGGGCGAGAGGAGGGCGCTTAGAAACCCTCTTGACTTAGTAAGGTAGGGTTATTCGGGGTTGGGGGTTGGGAGTTTTGCATGGTCCAGCCCTTGAGTATGTGTGGTTGGTTCTTTGGGTTGGTTCTAGGCGTAGTCATTGCATTGCACTGCATTGCAAGGTTTTATGTTCAGTACCAGGAGGGCGCTTTGGATATAAGTTGTTTATAACTTGGTTATAACTTAGTTACAAACCCTGTAACTGAGTTATAAGTGAGTTATAAGTATTGTCGATTTTTGTTGAACTTATAAACGTTTATAAGTCACTTATAAATACTTGGCCTGTCGGACTTATCTTGACTTAGGTGGACTTAGGTCTACTTACGAACCACCTTTTTTTGTGCTATTTGTTGCTGCTTTTGGTGTGATGTTGTTGTGATAAATCGGGTTTCCTTGCAGCCCGACTTGCCACGGCCGCCTCAAGTTTTTGTGCGTTGTCCCACTTGTAACGGCGGCACGTCAGCCGCTCAAGTGCGTCATGTTTCCACGCGCCGGGCCACGCAAAAAACTCACTAACATCCTGCCCTACGTTCCGCAGCATCCTTTTGCCACCCTGATAAAATAATACCGGACAGCGCTGCCAATTGCGAGATCCTCGCTTTTCTCGCCGACGTGCTTGCGGAGCAGTGAGTTGCGGAGAGCTTCCGGGCTATGTCCGTGGGATGTCCGCGGGTGTCCGCGGATGTCCGCGGATGTCCGCGGCCTCCTCGGCCCCAGTATAGGCCTTTGCCTAACAGAGCATGTCCGCGCCCGCGCGGCCAAAACAATGTGTTCTGCTGGGCTACACATGTAGGGCATGCCCGGCTCCCTGCTTTGGATCCCTATACCCTCAACCCCAAACCCAGCTACCAGAACCCAAGCCGAGCAGACGGTGGAAACCTTGCAGTGCCACAATTGCTGCTTGAGCAAGGCAGTCTCCCAACGCCGCCAGCACGGGCCACGATGCCTGCGTCGGACGTGCGAGAGTGTCCAGCGGGCGGTTGCGAAAATGGGATACGAAAAAAACCATTGCTGGCAAACGGACGGCGATCGTACAAAATACAATTTTGTGAAAACCTGATAGGACTTCGGTCTACTTATAAGTTACTTATAAGTTACTTATAACTCACTTATAAATACTCCAACCTAAGTCACTTATAAGTGGGTTATAAGTCCGTAAGTTCAAAGTGTCCTCCTGGTAGGATCATAGAAGTTGCTTCGCACAATGGCACCAGCAGGGCCAGGAGCCTCAACGGCCCCTGCACGGTCTTGCATGGCAGACGTGAAGATTGTTCGCTCAAGCTGTGTGTTGTTGTGTATTTGTGACCCATGGCGCAGCCCAAGAAGTCCTGGGCAGATTTACAGGACGAGGATGAAGAGTGGCAGGAGTTGGACCGCCGAACCTTTCCGCCAGCGCCAGCGCCGGAGGAGACAGAGGAGACACCGGAGCAGTTCTTGTCCGATGAATGGGAAGCGCGCATGTGGTACCAGGCCGAGGTCCATGCACCGAGGCCGTTCCACATCCCGCAGCTGGAGACAGACTTGGAGGCCGTCGTGGAGGAGCCTGAGCAAGAGGATCATTTCCTCATTTTCTATGAAATTATATCCACAGAGATTGTCGAGGAGCCTGAGCAAGACGATGACGATAAAAGCGCGCAGATGGTTCCGAAACAAGCTTTCTGGGGCGAGGTGGCTGCGTACATGCAAAAGCTTGGCAAGGCTTGTGATGCGCTTTGGTGGTTCTGCCCGAGCTCGGACTGCCGTGAAGGCTTCTGCCGGCAAGGCCCAAGCTCATGGAACCTCAAGAAGGCGTGCCTAAACGATGAGCTCTTGCCCACTGCGTCGCAAAATCTCCTGCTTAGGTTGCAGGCCGAGAGCATCTTAGACCAAGGCCACTGGGGGCAGCATAGGGAGCTCTCGTGTTCTGGCGTGGTGGTTCTGCCCGAAGCCTGGCTACCGTGAAGGCTTCTGCTAGCAACGCCGGCGCAATTGGCGCCTCAAGACGACGCGTCAAGTGGATGAGTTGTCACGTTCTGGCGTGGTGGTTCTGCCCGAAGTCTGGCTACCGTGAAGGCTTCTGGCAGCAACGCCGGCGCAATTGGCGCCTCAAGAAGACGCGTCAAGTGGATGAGTTGTCACGTTCTGGCGTGGTTGTTCTGCCCGAAGTCTGGCTACCGTGAAGGCTTCTGCCAGCAACGCTGGCGCAATTGGCGCCTCAAGAAGACGCGTCAAGTGGATGAGTTGTCACGTTCTGGCGTGGTGGTTCTGCCCGAAGTCTGGCTACCGTAAGGCTTCTGCCAGCAACGCCGGCGCAATTGGCGCCTCAAGAAGACGCGTCAAGTGGATGAGTTGTCACGTTCTGGCGTGGTGGTTCTGCCCGAAGTCTGGCTACCGTGAAGGCTTCTGCCAGCAACGCCGGCGCAATTGGCAACTCAAGAAGACGCGTCAAGTGGATGAGTTTTCACGTTCTGGCGTGGTGGTTCTGCCCGAAGTCTGGCTACCGTGAAGGCTTCTGCCAGCAACGCCGGCGCAATTGGCGCCTCAAGAAGACGCGTCAAGTGGATGAGTTTTCACGTTCTGGCGTGGTTGTTCTGCCCGAAGTCTGTCTGGCTACCGTGAAGGCTTCTGCCAGCAACGCCGGCGCAATTGGCGCCTCAAGAAGACGCGTCAAGTGGATGAGTTGTCACGTTCTGGCGTGGTGGTCCTGCCCGAAGTCTGGCTACCGTGAAGGCTTCTGCCAGCAACGCCGGCGCAATTGGCGCCTCAAGAAGACGCGTCAAGTGGATGAGTTGTCACGTTCTGGCGTGGTGGTTCTGCCCGAAGTCTGGCTACCGTGAAGGCTTCTGGCAGCAACGCCGGCGCAATTGGCGCCTCAAGAAGACGCGTCAAGTGGATGAGTTTTCACGTTCTGGCGTGGTGGTTCTGCCCGTGAAGGCTTCTGCCAGAAAACGTCCACGCAGTCGGGTGCGCCTCAAGAAGAAGGCGGGCCAAGAGCATGACCTCTGTTCTGGCGTGGTGGTTCTGCCCGAGCGTTGGCTACCATGAAGGCTTTAAGAAAGTGGCACCTCAAGAAGACGTGCCGAAGCAAGCCAGAAGGTGCTTTGAGAAAAGCATTCCTGTAGCAGAATGTGGCCCCTATGAAGTTTAAAGACTTTAAACCCCAGACTCTAAACCCTCCGCAGCAACACCCCTACAAGGAGCCAGGAAGATAGCGCTGCTGTTTGGAGACTGATGCGGCAATGTTTACTGACCTACCCCAAAGTGGTTCTAACTTCGCGAATCCTTCTTATTGGGTGCCAAGAACTCGTTGGCCCCTTACTATTGATGGGATGTTTCTCATCTTCGTCATAGTTGGGTAACATTTTACATTTTTAAGGGTACTTAAACCCAATAAGGAATAAAAATGTAAATTGTTAATATTTTCCCAACAATGAACTAGTCATGTGTAAGGGTTTATGGCTTATGGGGTTTATGCTCAACAATGGGGTGTATGTATGTGTGTGTGCATCCTGGGCAAAGATGCAGGTGACAGCTGCACTCAGCCCACAGGACCAAAAGCCCTAAACCCTCGACCCACAGACCCTAAACCCTAAACCCTAAACCCTAAACCCTAAACCCTAAACCCTAAACCCTAAACCCTAAACCCTAAACCCTAAACCCTACTCGGCCGAGGCGAAATGTGCAAGAAGCTGGAAGAGGAGACCGAGATCGCTAGCTGGACGGAGAACGGTGGCCTCCAACTAATTCAACCTAAACCCTAAACCCTAAACCCTAAACCCTAAACCCTACACCCTAAACCCTAAACCCTAAACCCTAAACCCTAAACCCTAAACCCTAAACCCTAAACCCTAAACCCTAAACCCTAAACCCTAAACCCAATCAGTTTCCGTAATGAGAGTTTAGTTTAAGTTCCCCAACAAGAACGAACCCAAACCATCAACTCCATATCCCCCAGCTGGGGCTCACTTGGAAGTTGCTTTATAGTAAGAACTGAGTTTTGCAGAGCCAAACCCTAAACCCTAACCCTAAACCCTAGACCCCAAGGAGCCCAGCCCTTTGAAGTGACTGGTGTACTACTAAACCATTGTCGTCAACCTCCGATTCGGATGATATCTGCCATCCACCCTTGCAGTCGCTATAAACCCTCCTAAACCCTAAACCCTAAACCGTATAACTTGCTCAATCCCGAGACACGTATATACTTGGGCCTGAAAAGGGGTTCCCAATATTGTAGCTTCAGGGCCCACGTTCATGGGCACAGGGACCCTTAGATTAGCCCAGCCCCCAACCCGCAAAACCTTAACACTAAATCCTGAACCTTAAGCCCTCACCCTACACCCTACACCCTAAACCCTAAACCTAATCCCTAAACCCTATACCCTAAACCCTCATCAACCCCCCCCCCCCCCCAACCCCTATTCTCAAAAGCGCCGCTGGCCAAGCCAGCAAAGGGGTAATGCCCCCAACAGAATAGAATTTCTTAAAGGGACCCCCGAAAAAGGTACCCCTAAACCCTAAACCCTAAACCCTATTTTCGGAAATCCCCAGGTGGCCTCTTTGTCGGGACGAACGCCGAGCGCCTTGCGGAGTACAAGCGCTTCGCTGAGACTGGCCCCTTGGCTTGTGGTTTGGGGTTTGGGGTTTGGGGTTCGGGTTTTGGTTTGTATGGTTTAGGGTTTTAGGGTTTTAAGGTTCCGGGCCAGTTAAATCTCCTTTCCTCGGTTTGGGGCTTTGGGGGAAGCCAAGGCAAGTATTTTGGCATCGAGAGCCACGTCCTGTCGCCTTCCGAAGTGAAGGAAGTCCACCCACTCCTCCGGGTAGATGACATCTACGGGGGCGTGTACTCTCCGGGTGATGGGACCATCGATCCGACGAGTATCTGCAACGCCTACGCGAAGGCTTCGCGCAAGCTAGGAGGTGGAGTGTACGAGAACATCGGCGTCAGCGGTATCGAAGTCGAGGACTACCTCACCGCCGGGTCTGCGCCCGCGCGGCGCATCAAAGCAATCCTGACTGCCTGCGGACAGAGGATCGAGACCCCCACGATCGTCAATGCTGGTGGCGCGTGGGCCAATGAGATTGCGGCCATGGTAGGCAGGGCACAGGGCTTGGCAACTGACTTCAAAAGCGGGGTTTGACTCTAAGAATCAACGAAAGATGAAGTGCATTAGTCTAACTGCCTTGCGTCTTAAGTCAGTTGTCGGCGCAGTTTGGCAGTTTCCTGGCGCCCTGTAGCCCCGCGGCAGGTGTGCAAATACCTTTGAAGGCCATGAAGCATGCCATGGTCCTGACCGAGCCCATCGCCGGCATGCACAGCGGTTTGCCAAACGTGCGAGACCACGACCTCAGCGTCTACTTGAAGACGCAGGGCGACTCCATGGCCATCGGCGGCTACGAGCAGAACCCCGAGTTCTGGCCAGACGTCGATCCTGGGTTTGCCTTCGGGCTTTTCGAGCTGGACTACGACACCTTTGGCCAGAACCTGGCCGGACACATGCAGCGCTGCCCAATCATCGAGGAGACTGGGATCCTTGGTAGCTGAGTGGTACCCTTTTGCCTCTTTTTTGTTTCTGGCTTCCCTTGATAAATTGTACTTAACACCAAAAAGGGTACCCTTATTATAACAGGGATACTGGGCTGCCTTAAGGATCAAGTCCACGGTCTGTGGGCCGGAGTCCTTCACGCCAGACCACAAGCCCCTCATGGGCCCGCACCCGGGTCTCCGAGGCTTCTACCACGCCTGTGGCTTGGCAGCTGAGTGCTACCCTTTGGCTCTTTTTGGGTGGTGGGTTCCCCTGATAAAAGTACTTAGCACCAAAAAGGGTACCCTAAACCCTAAACCCTAAACCCTAAACCCTAAACCCTAAACCCTAAACCCTAAACCCTAAACCCTAAACCCTAAACCCTACACCCTTACCACAGCATGGCTGCTGGGCTACCAAGGTGGGTTCAACTCCATGGGCTTGATGCTCGGAGGAGGCGCCAAATCTTCTCTAGGAGGGGCGCCCTGCTGGGCGTGTCTTGGGGGGGTTTTGGGGTTGGGAGACCTGCAAGACTCTGAAAGGTGTCCTTCGAAATTCTCTGTACATGTAGACTAGGACCCGGCGTAGGCCCTCATTTCCTTTTTTGGGGTTGGGGTTCCCTTCTGATCCCCTTAAAACCAAAAAGGGGTGATTACCCTTTTCCTTCCGGGTTACTCCTAGACTCGAAAGCTGCGCAGAGGCGTGGGCCGTGAGTTGACGAAGTGGATCTTGACCGGATCTCCAGAAGTGGACCTCTTTAGCTTCGACTGCGCGCGCTTCCACCCGGACAGCGTGGCCAGTAGCCGCTGGGTCCGAGACCGCACCCATGAGAGCCTTACTTAGCCAATAGTTGAACTTTTAAACCTTGTTGGGTCTCCTTTTTTACTAAGAAAAATGGAGTTTAACCTGGTTTTACCCCAAGTTTAGCCTTGTTTTTTCCCCTGGTTATTGGAGAAGTAAGGAGCTATGCCAAGACCTACGCCATCGTCTTCCCTCACGATGAGTCCCTGGCAGGTCGAGGCAGCCGCAAGTCAGCTCTCTATGAGGCTTACTCAGCCAATAGTTGATCTTTTTAGACTTTTTTGGGTCTCTTTATTTAGTAAGAATATAATGAAGTTTAAGTCTCCTTATTTCGTAAGAACAATGAAGTTTAAGTCTCCCTATTTAGTAAGAGTAATGAGAATAACGAAGTTAAAGTCTCCTTATTTCGTAAGAATAATGAAGCTAATGAAGCTTAACCTTGTTTTTCCCTTGGTTACTGGAGAAGCAAGGATGAGCTGCTGGGGCGTGGTTGTGTGTACCAGGCACGACACGGCTTCGAGCGGCCGGGCTGGTTCGTGCCGTCCTCCGGCAGCCAAGAGACTGGGCTGGAATTTTAGAAGAAGTTGCCTTGAACCCTAAACCCTAAGCCCTAAACCCTAAACCCTAAACCCTAAACCCTAGGAGACCATGGACTATGACTTCTACGGTGCCTACGAGGAGGGCGCCTGGCGACTGGGAGAGACCGATCACCCGGACATTCCCAAGCACGAGAGCCATGAGTACCTTGGGGAGCCAAAGGAACTCCTAAAGACGTAAACCCTAAACGGGTGTCTAGGGTTTAGGGTTTAGGGTTTAGGGTTTAGGGTTTAGGGTTTAGGGTTCATACACCTGAATAATCAGAATTATGGGAGAAAAGGGTGTTGGACCCCAATTTTAGTTTTCATTTGGTCCCCGAGGTACTTGGACCATGTCGAGGGGGAGCTCACCTTCGATTGGCCAGAGAGCCACGCCACCGTGGCTGACGAGTGCCGGGCCGCGCGTGAAGGAGTGGCGATCTTCGACCAGTCCCTTGGTAGTTGAGTGGTACCCTTTTGCCCTTTTTGAATTAGGGGTTCCCCTTATAACAGTACTTTACACCAAACAGGGCACCCTTGTTGTAATATGGTTGCTGAACCCTAAACCCTAAACCCTAAACCCTAAACCCTAAACCCTAAACCCTAAACCGGGCTGCCAAGGTCCTACTTCGGCAAGTTCTACCTGAAGGGCCCAGGAGCTGACTCTGCCGTCCAGTATCTCTGTGGCGCAGACATGGAGGCTTGGTAGGTCAGTGGTTCCCTTTACCCTTTTTTTTGGTTCTGGTTTAGGGTTTAGGGTTTAGGGTTTAGGGTTTAGGGTTTAGGGTTTAGGGTTTAGGGTTTAGGGTTTAGGGTTTAGGGTTTAGGGTTTAGGGTTTAGGGTTTAGGGTTTAGGGTTTAGGTTTAAGGGTTTAGGGTTTAGGGTTTAGGGTTTAGGGTTTAGGGTTTAGGGTTTAGGGTTTAGGGTTTAGGGTTTAGGGTTTAGGGTTTAGGGTTTAGGGTTTAGGGTTTAGGGTTTAGGGTTTAGGGTTTAGGGTAATTTTGGTTCAAGGTTCCCTTATCAAGTAACCAACCCAAAAAAGGCTGCCCTTATTTTAATATGGTTACTGGGCTACTAAGGAGGGCAAGAGGGTCGGATCGGTGACCTACACGCCCCTCTGCAACTCCAGGGGGGGCGTCGAGGCCGACTTAACCGTCACGAAGCTGCAGAATGCCGAGGGCCAGAGCTACTACTACTTCGCGGCGGGCGGCAACACGGCCACGAAGGATTTGGCCTGGATACGAAAGGTCCTAGAGGACCAGGACTTCAACGCACACATCGAGGACCACAGTGAGTCGATGACGCTCATCTCGGTGCAGGGGCCCTACAGCAGGCGGCTGCTTCAGTCTCTGACCGGCTCAGACATGTGCCCGGGCTGCAAGAGTAAGGCATCGTAGTTCGAGACGGGGGCATGCCAACATAACAATCTCAGGCAGGATCCCCCTGGACCCTAGACTCCCCCTTATACCCTAAACCCTAAACCCTAAACCCTAAACCCTAAACCCTAATCCTACGGTCCTACCCCAGAAACCCCAAAACCCTCAGCTCCGAGCTCGCAAATTCCACGCAGCCCAGGAGCGATGAGGCCTTGCCATTCTCCGGCGCAAAGCAGCTAGAGATCGCCACTTGGTGGCGCTTTACTGTAACTTTACATCTTTAGCCTTTTTGGGTTTATTGGGCTTCTTAATAAGGCAGCTAAGAATTAAATTTATAGCTACCCTGCTAAGAGCAGCCAAGGCCACGAGGTCCAGTAGGTAGGCTTTTTGGGATAGTTCATATCTTCCCGTCTGGGGTGGGAGGGGGGGGGGGGTGGGTTGAGGATCTTATTTGGGACACAATGGGTATCTTCCCTTATTGTTATCTTTTAATGGGTGTCCTACCTGGAAATGTTTCCGATCTAAACTCGGAACATTTGCTCGGGTGAATTTATCACTGGCCCTAAACCCTGAACCCTAAACCCGAAACCCTAAACCCTAAACCCTAAACCCAGGCTGGCCACCCGCTCCTCGTTCTCCGACTCACCTTTGTCGGGGAGCTGGGATTCGAGCCTGGGCTCTTCGGGTTCAGGCTTCAGGGTTTAGGGTTCAGGGTTTAGGGTTTAGGGTTTATGGTCTGCACTAGGTGTCCTGACTTGAGGCTTAAGAATTGAGTCCTAAAAGGGGAAGGGTTCAGAAACCCGAACACTAGTCGGAAGTAGCTGAGGTTTGTATGAGCCCACCTCTAGGGCCCATTGCTTCTCCAAAGGAAGAATGTTCTAGAGCAATTGTTCAGCTTATTGCTTGTTCCATTTACAATGACCGCACCACACGACATGAAGTAGGGTCTATAGTGGCCTTTTTGTTACCGGTGAGTGTATATATGGCGAATCCTTCCTATTCTTGGTAAGTGTATACTTGGGCTGTCCTTTTGGGATACTAGTAGCAAAACAGCCGACATGATACATTACACGCTTCCAAGAATTGCTAGGGTTGGTTGAGCAGAGGCCCAGGGTTTGGGGTTTTCAAGGGTTCCAGGGTACATGGGCCTTTAGATCCCTAGGAACGTTTAGGGTTTAGGGTTCAGGGTTTAGGGTTTAGGGTTTAGGGCCCTACATCCTAAATCCCCAAACAGCCAAAAAATATTCCCCAAACTGAATAAACCGAACCCTCCAGTTATATGGCAATTCTGTACCCTCAATACGTAAGCGTGTATTTTCAATACCCTACCCTTGGAAGCCTACCACCTCACCCGAAGCTTAAGCCCTACACTTCTAAGCCAGCACTAGACAGCCTAAACCCCAAACCCTATACGTAGGCCTTTGGGTACTATACATATTTTCCCTCATTGCAAGCCCCCTAGATCCAACGAGCTCCATGCCCCCCAAACCCGAAACCCTAAACCCTGAACCCTATACCCTAAGCCCTGAACCCGAAACCCGAAACCCGAAACCCGAAACCCGAAACCCTAAACCCTAAACCCTAAACCCTAAACCCTAAACCCTAAACCCTAAACCCTAACCGATCTAAGGAGCTCCATACCCCTGCAGAGTCGGCCGTGGACGTCTACCGCGCCGTGCACGCGGCGGGCGCCAAGCTGTCCGAGCTCGAAGGCATCCCCGTGCGGGATGCTGGGCGCCTTGCGTTTAGCGTTTAGCGTTTAGCGTTTAGCGTTTAGGGTTTAGGGTTTAGGGTTTAGGGTTCAGGGTTTGGGGTTTCGGGTTTAGGGTTTAGGGTTCAGGGGTGTGCGGTTTGGGGGTGTTCAGGTTTGGAGGGGTTCAGGGTTTAAGCTTCAATTAGGGCTTGGGGTTGACGCTTGGCCACAGGTGCACAGTTGCTAAAGTACCATAAGGGTATGTTGGCTTAGTCAACAGGGTATACTGTGTCTGTTGACGTAGTCATGCTGCATCCGAATCGATAGTGCAGAAGTGTTGCAGTCAAGGAAACCAGGATGGCCCATGAGACCTAGAATCCCTGAACCTGAAAAGGGCATACAGGGTTGATTTTGGGGAGTGAAGGGCCGTCCATCTCATAGTATACCCTGCGTTACCTTAAAATGGGACTTGATAGGGGGGATGAACCACAATGCCTCAGGTTTACCTCCCCCTGCCCTAAACCCTAAACCCTAAACCCTAAACCCTAAACCCTAAACCCTAAACCCTAAACCCTAAACCCTAAACCCTAAACCCTAAACCGTTTAGGATGATTGAAGCCGAGCCGAGGTACAGGGCCATAGACAGCCTCTCTGCCGAGAAGAACCTCCGCCACTGGCACGCGGACCTCAGCAACCGGGACACTCCCTTAGAGGCTGGCATAGGGTTTAGGGTTTAGGGTTTAGGGTTTAGGGTTTAGGGTTTAGGGTTTAGGGTTTCGGGTTTAGGGTTTAGGGTTTAGGGTTTCGGGTTTAGGGTTTAGGGTTTAGGGGTTCCGTAACAACCCTTAAAGCCCCGAAAGCCCCCCAGAAACTCTCAAAACCCTCTAAAACCATAGAAACTTTGGCAGCCATTTCAACCTTAGTAGCCCTAAACCCTAAACCCTAAACCCTAGTAGCCCCACAGGCTGGCATTGGCTTCACCGTGCTCTCGAAGCTGAAGCGGACAGGCGTGGCTCAAGATTCTTGGGTTTAGGGTTGAGTTTAGGGTTTAGGGTTTAGGGTTTAGGGCTTAGGGCTGAGGGCTTAGGGCTTAGGGCTTAGGGCTTAAGTGCCTTACGAAAGTGAGACCTTACTAGTTCTAAATAGGGAAGTAGGCAAATCGGAAATTAGGGAATTGGGTACCTTACATCCCCCTAGAAAACCCCCTTTAAGCGATTGTGTAGGGCACCTACTTCCCCCGAATTTCCTACTAAGAACTGACAAGCTTCGGGCGTACGGGCTTATACTTGTATCTGAACCTCCATAACTTAAGGGATACTTGGGAATTATTATTAATTTTTGGTACTATAGCAACAGCTAAAACTATAACTTTTGCTAGGGTTCCAAGTTCTGTATAGTATAAGAGATCTCTCTAGAACCCTTTATAGGGGGTTTAAACCCTAAACCCTAAACCCTCTTCATAGGGTTCCTTGTCAAAACATCCTTCAACCCAGGCAGCCCCCGCCCCTATACAACCGAAAGCTATCTAGAGGCAAACTGCCCAAAGGGTTTAGGGTTTAGGGTTTAGGGTTTAGGGAAAGCCTCACCCTAAACCCTATGCCGATACCCTATACCCTAAATCCTATAAAGGCACAACACGGCCCTAAACCCTACACACACACAGACAGACACACACACACACACACACACACACACACACCCACACACACACACCCACCCACCCACACCCACCCACCCACACCCACCCACCCACCCACCCACCCACCCACCCACCCACCCACCCACCCACCCACCCCACCCACCCCACCCACCCCCCCCCCCCGCCCCCCCCCCGCCCCACCCCCACACCCACACCCACACCCACCCCCACGCCCACGCGCACCGCACGCGCACGCGCGCACGCACGCGCACGCGCACGCGCACGCGCGCACGCTCGCCGCGCGCACGCGCGCACGCGCGCACGCGCGCACGCGCACACGCGCACACGCGCACACCCAAACTACAACCTAATCCCTAAGCCTACTCAGACATGTCCCCCTCCCCTAAAGGCATCGGACACAAACTGCTGCAGGCCCCGAAGCTCCCAATTTCTTGGGCCGCTCCGCCCTCGAGCAGCAGAGGGAAGTTGGCCTCAAGCGGAAGCTGATTTGCCTAGTCCTGGAGGCGGGCTGCGGGGGTTGGGGGGCGGGTTGGGGTTTGGGGGGGTTGGGGGTTGGGTGGGTAGGGGGAGTGGGTTGAGGGCTTGATTCGCTAATGGAACTCGGGGCTTGGGGCTACTGGGAAGGATTGGTTTGAAGTTCGCCCCTAATTCCTGAGAATGACAGAAGCCCGATTATAATGAGTTCAATGGGCGGTTGAAAAACACGCATGGTATACATGAACTTTTTGGGTGGTGGGGTGGGCTTGGAGGGTTTAGTTTGGGCCGTTAGGGTTTTGGGTTAAAGGTTTGGGGGTTGAGATGAGGGTAGTCTCAACTCTAAACCCTGAAAACCCTAGAAACCCTGGAAACCCCAGAAGCGCCAGAAAACCCTAGCAACCCTGCACCCCCTATAACCCCTATGAACCCTAGAAACCCTATAAACCCCCATAAAGCCGAAGCCCAAAACCCTGCCAGCCCTGTAAACCCTATACACCCTGGAAGTGCAAAGGGTCGCTGAGAGTTTTGGAAGGGGAAGCCGCCAGGGCACCAGGCAAGAGATGGTGTGACCCAGCCTAGGGCTTAGGGTTTAGGGTTCAGGGTTTCGGGTATGAGGGATGTTTGGGGCTAGAGTTTACAGGCCCAGGCTCAGGTTGGAGCTTTAGAGTTTGTTTGCGAACAGGCTGGCGACGTGCCGCTCCATGGCGCTGAGAGCATCTGGAGAGCCCGCAGAGTTCGGGGGAGCTGGCTTGTAGGATTTAGGGCTGGGGGCTGTGGGGTTTTGCTATGCTTCTGCGATGGGGTTGAAAGGAAGAAGGGAGCCATGCGGGGTTGACGAGGGTTTCGTAGGTGCCCATAAGCCCGCAAAACTCTCAGCCTCAAGGGACTAAAGCAGGGCCCCTCAATATAATGCAGGGCCTACTCAGGCATATAAGGGCTTTACAAGGGGTGTGTGTGTGTGTGTGTGTGTCTATATAGAGAGGTTACATAGGTCCCTTCTAGGGGAGCCTCCTTATATCCCGCAACGCCCCTCCAAACTCTAAACCCTGAACCCGTCTCTTCCTTCGTGCACACGATCGCAAGGAACCATCCCTTCCCTTGAACGCCTGTAGGGCTAAGGGGTTTGGGGTTCAAGTTTGCAGGGCTGTTAACCCTCAAGCCCTAAATCCTTGAACCCTGAACCCAAAAAACCCTAAGCCCTAAACCCTAAACCCACTTTTTGGGTTTGAGGGCTTGGGCTTGGTCGCAGGAGGGACGGGCAGTGCATCGGCTACGTCCGCTCCACCGCCTACGGCCACACCCTCGGGAAGTCAATCGCCTACGGCTACGTCGACTGCCCAGAGCATGGGGCTCAGAAGGGCTTGGGCGCGCATCGGGCAGAAGGGGGGGAGCAGGGTTTCGGGTTTTCGGCTTAGGGTTTAGGGGTTAGGGTTTAGAGTTTAGGGTTTCGTGCGTGTCTCTGACCCTAAACCCGATGACTGGTGTCTCTTCCTACTTGGCTCATGGGCCTGGCATTGTCCAGCTTAGAGTTTAGGGTTTAGGGTAAAGTATCGTACAGTAGAGGGGGCGGGGCAGGGCTCCCCTCTTTGCTCATAGTGCAGCTTTATGCAGCTGCCACCATGAGATCACCGAGCTCACCTCGTGCAAGGCTCATAGGCTGGTATGCCCTAAATCCTAAATCCTAAATCCTAAATCCTACATATCCCTAAACCCTAAACCCTGAACCTGGGTGCTGCACAGGTCTGAGCCGAAGATCACCAACAAGTGGCTCGAGGCAGGTGACTGGCACATTGGCGATGCTTGGCCGATGCGTCCGTTATGAAGGGTTTAGGGGTCAGGGTGTAGGGTTCTGGGTTTGGGTTTGGGGTTTCGCATTCAGGGTTTAGGGTTTGGGGTTTCGCATTTAGGGTTTAGGGTTTAGGGTTAGTAAGGTGGGCTCTGGGCATTACATTCGGGTTTCTAGGGGACACGAAGTAGAAGTAGACTTACTAAGTCAAGAGGGCTGCCAAGTAGGGCAGTGTTGGGCTTAGGGCGTCTACACGTGCGCAAGACGAATGATGGACGTTTAGATGCAGGACCCTCCACATCTCAGGGAAACGGCGGCTAACACTCCTACAGCCCGAAGCCCATAAACTCCTTGAAGGGCGAAACCCTAACAGTCCCAAAACCGCCAGGGCTTCGGGTTTAAAAGGTTTGGGGCTTGCAGTCTAAAAAACGCCAAACCCTGAACCCTAAACCCTGAACCCTGAACCCTAAACCCTAAACCCTCAACCCTAAACCCTAAACCCTAAACCCTAAACCCTAAACCCTAAACCCTAAACCCTAAACCCTAAACCCTAAACTTGAACCGAATCTCTGCAAGCTCCTAAGGACAAGGGTGAGAGGCACGTGGCAAAGTTGCATCTCAAGGCTCCCTGCTGGCTTAGCACAGCTTTCCCTAAACCCTAAACCCTAAACCCTGAACCCTAAACCCTAAACCCTAAACCCTAAACCCTAAACCCTAAACCCTAAACCCTAAAACCCCTAAAACCCTAAGACTAAGACCCTAAAAACCTCAAAAACCCTAGAACAAATCACAAAAACCCTAAAGATTCACCTTAAAATACTGAGACCCAAGCACCGCTAAGACCCTAACATGCGAAGCCGGAGGCACCCTTCTAAACACGAACACCCTAAAGCCTAAAACCGTAAACCCTGAAACCCGAAACCAGAAATCCCTAAACCCTAAGCCCTAAACCCTAAACCCTAAACCCTAAACCCTAAACCCTAAACCCTAAGCTTAAACTCCCCAAAATCCGAAGCCGGAGGCACCCTTCGACCCCACGAACTCCAGAGTAAAGGGGCTTTATCCGCCTTCAGAGCCCATCGTCGAAGGCGGGAGTGGCGGCTTAGGGTTTTTAAGGTTTAGGAGTTTATGCGTCGAGGAGTTTAGGAGTTTAGGGGCTTTGGGTTTAGGAGCTTAGGGTTCAGGACTTCGGGGTTTAGGAGTTGTTTTGTTGGTTGTTTCTATTTTGGACGTGTTTGGGAGTTTAGGGTTTAGGGTTAGAGTGTAGGGTTTATGGTTTAGGAGGGTTTTGCGGTTTAGGGTTTATGGGGGGGGGGGGGGTGTTTTCGGATTTAGAGGCTTCTCCCCTTGATTGTGCATCTGGGGATGTTTGAGTGCGCTTTTTTCAGGCTTCGGGCTTCGGATTTCGGGGATTTCGACTTCTTCGGGGTTCTGGTTTCTGGGATTCCTGGGACCTTCTTGGGAGCCCTCAAACCTCAACCCTGACGCGAGACCCTTGGAACGGAAGAAGTGTTTGGACGTGGGCTGTTGCCTTGAGTTTAGGCCTAAACCCTAAAAGGAATAGGTTTGGGTGGTTTTGCCGCCTGAGACGGCGTGGGGTGGGATAAAGAAGTTAGATGGCCCTCCACTATCGGGCCATGGCTGCTCTTCGCATTTCCGGACGCCTGCGAAGCGAGTCTGCATCCCAACCTTCACAGCTTCTGAGCCTTTTCACAGCAAAACCCTAAACCCTAAACCCCAACGCCATTCGCTCATGACCGGAGGCAGCTACGGAAAGCCCAGGACTGCAACCATGTCTGCGCAGGCGTGACGCAGGCTCGCCACTGGATTTAGGGTTTAGGCCTTAGGGTCTAGGAGTTAGGGCTGGGTTGTAGGGTTTAGGATTTAGGGCTGAAGGTTTAGGGGTTTAGGGTTTCGGGTTTAGGGTTTAGGGCCTAGGGCTTAGGGTTTAGGGTTTAGGGTGCATCTACAGAAAGGCCTTGAGGCCCGCATCCTGCCGGATGGGTTAGTCAGCGACAGAGACCCTATGCGTGTAAGTATGTATGCATGCATGAAGTAGGGTGTTTATTTCTTGTACCCCCAACAGGACACCCAAGGTATACTTTCACCAATAGTAAAAAGGAACCTTATATACACTCACCAAAAGCAAGAATATAAACCCTGCTTCATACCTATGGCTATACAGTCCGACTCAAGGGCCTTTAAGTGATTTTGAGGTACAATGGGTTTAGGGTTTAGGGTTCAGGGTTTAGGGATAATTCCCTATCAGCCTGGTGCAGGATTTTATGTTGTATTAGTCCCATTTTCAGGGCTTTTGTTCAGGCATAACGGCCCATCCTGGTTCAGCACAGTAGTCATGTGTTCAACTATTGTTTTTTTGTGTTTTTTGGGGGTTTTGGGACAGTTTTGGGTTTGGGTGCAAACCTCCCTCCCAAAGGCGTGTGACCACTCAAGACCGAACTCCCAAGCTCCAAAGCCGTGGTCACATGGGCAGAGCTCTGAATAATGTGGTGAAACCCTATTCGGGTTTCAGACGTGGGTTTAAACCCCAAACCCCAAACACCAAACCCCAAACCCCAAACCCCAAACCCTAAACCCTAAACCCTACTGCAAACCCTTGACCCCCGCCCCGCCAAACGCACCGAGCTCTCGCGCCTGAGAGGCTGTCGTCGTTCCATGCTCCACCGTGGACTCTGCACGTGAAACTCCTTCACTTAACTTTTGTGCAGGTTACCGGAGAATCCTCTCAGGAGTTTCAGCATGATAGCCTACACTACAGGAGGATCCCAAGGTTTTGTGATCTGCTGGACGTCCATGGGCTGCATGATATTCTTTTTTTTGCTGTCTCACAGGCTTGCAACAGTAAAGCATCTCGAGACCCTGCTCTCGCTTGTATATTGTGTCCATAGCGCTGCGGCGACCTCGACAACGGTCTATTTCAGGATCGTGTGTTGTTGTGTCGGGCCGCCTCCCCTCGAACTTTCGAGGTATAGAAGTGATGATTGAGAAGGTCGAGCAGCAGGAAAAGCATCCTCTCTCGTTACTGCTGAAGTGCCGCATTTGTCACTGTGCCTGTCCGGATCCAACGCAATATATCATATTGTATCATAGTAGTATAGAATATATAGATGCACGGCAGAAGACCATGGCTACGAGCTGCACGTCCCATGTCATTGCAGCTGTGCCGAGGTGCATGGCAAGATCAGGGACGAGCTGCAGTGCCCTGAAGGGTTTGGGGTTTAGGTTAGGGTTTAGGGTTTAGGGTTTAGGGTTTAGGGTTTAGGGTTTAGGGTTTAGGGTTTAGGGTTTAGGGTTTAGGGTTTAGGGTTTAGGGTTTAGGGTTTAGGGTTTAGGGTTTGGTTTAGAGTTTAGGGCACATCACCACAATCCCGCTGTTGGGAGCTTTGTGGCTGCTGACTAAGCCTCCAGCAAGCCCTTTTTTCCCCTGTACCAAGGGCCCATGCCCATACTGCAGAACCCTGTAAAGGAGGTAAGGAACCAAGTTAAGGGCCCATATAACTACCCTGCAGGCCATCCTGCATGATGCGTGATACGTTTCTGCCCGCTGCAAAAGTGTACACAAAGGACGCTGCCTGCGCCATCCGACAATGAACGGGTGCGCCAGGCGCCAGTTGGCCACGAGAAGCTATGCGCGTCCCCAGCATGCCGAAAATGAGTGAGTTTCCAGAGACTATCGCAAGTACTGCGGGCGTATCCGGGCGTATCTGTTCATTGTTTATGTGTGTCTGTTCATTGTTGTGTTTAAATAGCTATGTAGTGTTCTTAGGCTTAGTAGTTCAGGTTCGAACAGAGGCAAAAATGCTCCGGTGCCATCAGCCCCCAATAAACAGTGTCTGAGGGCATGCTGACTAGGGGCATGCTGTAAACAGTTCTCAGGGTAGTTCCATGGGCCCTTCACATGGCCCCTTACCTCCTTTAAAGGGTTCTGATGTATGGACCCGTATTTTGTGTGGGGTGTGTAAGGGCTATATAAGGGGTACCCGTTTAAAAGTTTAAGGGCCCATACGAAGAGACCATGCAACTACCCCAAGACAGTTCTTCACGCAGCCGTTGGGTTTTTGCAACGCACCTTGTCATTTGGGGGCCTGTTCAAAGTTCCGGCCCTTGTTGCCTACAAACTAGAAGTGGAAGGAATCTGCCATCAACGAGAAGCCAAAACGAGACTCTAGGTTTGAACTACCTCCTCATAGAGCAAGTCTAATCTTCATGGTGCGGTAAACATTCGGATACAGACAGGTCTTCGAGCACAGGGACAGCTTCATCAGGTCACAGACTGCCAAAACCCTGCAAGAGCATGCACATCAAGAAGTTTAGGGTTTAGGGTTTAGGGTTCAGGGTTCAGGGTTTAGGGTTTAGGGTTCTGACTTTCATTTGCTTCGGCCCTCGCAAGCTGCGAGCAGCCTGGCCCGGACGAGCACCTCGCAATGTTGGCGAGGCTGCCCCGCGCGGGCCGCGCCGGCCTCACCATATGCAGGCCGGCTGACAAATTCACCCTTAATCCCTGAGCCTTAAACCCTAAACTCTAACACCTAAACCCGAATCCCTGAGCCTTAAACCCTAAACTCTAACACCTAAACCCGAATCCCTGAGCCTTAAACCCTGAACTCTAACACCTAAACCCTAGACTCCCTAGACTTCAGCCCTAAGTTACGAGCTGCAAGCCCGTGAAGCATGCAGGAAAGAATACCTATGGAGCCCTTAAAAATGTTTAGTGTTTGGGATCCACCCTTTCGAGAGGGGCCGCTGGGGGAAGGGGTTGGGGCTTAGGGTGTAGGGTGTAGGGTTTTGTTGGTTTAGGGTTTAGGGTTTAGGGTTTAAAGTTTAGGGTTTAGGGTTTAGGGTTTAGGGTTTATCAGAACTTTAGCTGCCAGTTTCAGGAGCTGGTTGTGCTGAGCACGGTCTTGAGGGGATCCAGAGTTCTGAGCACTTGGCCCAGTAAGCCCGAAGCCCTAAAACTTGAGGGTTTAGGGTTTAGGGTTTAGGGTTTAGGGTTTAGGGTTTTGGGGGCTCAGGCAACAACCAAATCCAGATTCAGTCCAGGTTGAGAATTCAGAGATTCGCCTGGTTTTGGGTATAAGCAATTTGCTATAGCCCTTGGGCCCCTTCCTCGAACCCTGAACCTCGCCCAAGCCTTAAAAGATTTAGGGTTTAGAGTTTAGGGTTTAGGGTTTAGGGGTCTGTGTGTAGGACCTGCAGCGGCTTCGCCGCGTCCCAGGAGGCTGCCTGGGCGGGGGGGGCGCGGGGCAGGGGCTTAGGTTTGCGGCTTCGGGGTTTGGGGTCTTCGGGGTGTGGAGCTTTTTAGGGTTTTGGGGGGGTTTAGGATTCAGGGTTTAGCCAGTTTAGGGTTTATCTTTTGATAGGGCATCAAGTTCCGACGCCCAAAACCCTATGACCGTTTCGGGTTGGGGCTTCAGGGTTTAGGGTTTCGAGGGTTTTGGGTTTTGGGAATTAGGTGCTTGGGCTGGACTCTTTGGAAGCTTGCGGCTTGGTCGTGGACGCGTGGACCTGAGTCAGTAATCATGGGTTCCTCTACTACCCCCCCTAGGTTCCCCCCATAATTAAGGCTATGTTGGGATTATTAAGCCTAATTAAGGCTAATTAAGGGGGGAACCTAGGGGGGGTAGTATAGAGGGGGGGTAGTAGAGGAACCACTGATATAAGGTGAGCAGGAGGCAGAGCTGCTTGCCCCGTGAGTAAGTGCTCGTGGAGCTGTGTGGCGCCCAGCATGCCGCATCCCTCGTCCTGCGCCTATGGTTTAGAGTTTAGGGTCGTAGCCACGCCAGAACCCCTAAACCCTCAACCCTAAACCCTAAACCCTATAGATCGTGCAAGCACCGCGGGAGTATGCATGAAAAACACGACCAGCGCCGATCCTCATCCTCCAAAGTGAATCTTGTAAGGGTCATCTGATACGTTGTCCACGTCCATATGAGTTCGTTGGATAACCTAATACAAGTAGTCCTTGTTGGGAGGCTTCTGTTTTGGGGTCCAGTAGGCGTATAGAGTTTTAGGGAAAGCCAAAAAAACCCGAAACCCTAAACCCCAAACCCTAAACCCCTAAACCCCTAAACCCCTCAACCCCTCAACCCCTAAGCCCTCGACCGTGGAGGTGATCAGCCGGGCAGAGGGCATCATCCAACGCACCAGCCGACTTTTCATTGACAACCAGTACGTGGAGGCAAGCAGTCTGAAGCCGAGTAGGGTTTAGGGTTTAGGGTTTAGGGTTTAGGGTTTAGGGTTTAGGGTTTAGGGTTTAGGGTTTAGGGTTTAGGGTTTAGGGTTTAGGGTTTAGGTTTTAGGGTTTAGGGTTTAGGGTTTAGGGTTTAGCAGCGTCCAGCCCAGCGGTGGTTTCTTACTGTTGGTTTGCTGGGAATGAGGGAAGTAGGGCCCTATATATATATATATATACATACCCCTTTAAGGGGTTATATAGGGTACCTCCCATTCCCTGCTAGCCAGCAGTAAGTTAAGACGAACAAGAATGGCAAACCCTTACTCGAATACTCCGACCCTCAATCCAGCCCAGAACCTGCCCTCAACCCTCCACCCTCAACCCTAAACCCTAAGGCCCTAAGCCCTAAACCCTAAGCCCTAAAGCCCAGCGGGCTTCTCGGTGCCTGCGAGAGTCGGCAGGCGGAGAACAATGTGCGTCTGCCGGTGCTCTCTCCCTCGGATGGCAAGCCCTTCGCAGCTCCCTCGGCCTCGGGGTCGAGAGGTTTAGGGTTTGGGGTTTAGGGGTTAGGGTTTAAAATTTAGGGTTCAGGGTAGGTAAGGCATTATAAGCACTTC